GAGAGTGTGCGCGATAGGCACAGAGGCACAACTAGCGAGTGTGTGTGTGTATGTGTGTGTGTTTGAAAGAGGAGTAGATAGATTATTATCAAGATCGAGGTGCCACCCTACTCCTTCGGTGTTGGGTAGTGTGTGTGTGTGTGTATGTTTGAGAGAGAAGCCAATCGATAGATTAGTATCAAGATCGAGGTGTCATCCTACTCCTTCGGTGTTGGGAGGTGTGGGTGTGTGGGGGTGGGGCAGTGACACTCACATATCTCTACTTCTTATAGAAACAGAGTTGGTGATGATGGTGTTCCTGCCATCCTGCAATATAGGCCATCCGATTTATATCCGATGGATAGGAAGGAAACTATGGCAATTTTGCAAAAATATACCCACACCCCTCTCCGCATTTGCAAATAAGGCATTCCCTCGTTCATCCTGTTCTCCCACAAGATAAACTACTCATACAAATGCATCTTAATGTTTCATGCAACGCATGGGCATTTTGCTAGTAGGGAGAAGGAGTTTGTGTGACACATATCTAGCTATATTAAGGGATAGGTAGATAGCATTTGTGCGAGGCATACTTAAAGCATCACGAAGATAAACAAACGGTGTGCATGCAAGTGCCGGAAAAAATGAAGCGAGAAACTATGTGTGTGCGCGCGCGCACGCGTGTGTGTGTGTGTGTGTGTGTGTGTGTGAGAGAGAGAGAGAGAGAGAAATCTCAAAACAAAAAGTGCTCTGTTGGAATCCCATTGTACGTATTCATATGGTTCTGGAACTCAAGTTAACCTTAGGCATATGTGTGAGAGACATGATTATACTTTGAGACATTAGTGGCTGTGGGTGGGCGGCATTAAAGGGGTGGGCGTGTTAGACAAAGAGAGCGTGTGTGTTTCTGTGTGAGAGATTTGTAGGACGGGGTAGAAAGACGAATTTAACCTTGACAGAGGGAGAGAAATACACGAAGTGCGCGTGTGTGATTCCGATGCCCACAGGAAAATGAGATATGTATGCGTGTGAGAGAGATTGCACAATTCATTCACGTATCACTATCTAGCGATCGTGGATGTGCATCACTTGAACATAAGTCAATATCTACTTCGTATCGTGGCCAAAGGTACAATATCGATTCAACGCTATAAAAATTGGACACTCACATATCACATTTTTTCTATTTAAATAAACCTTTTTAGTTGTGCATGCCAAAGTTAGAGTGATGTTTCTTCAAACAACCAATGTAGTTATCATGTACATGCACCATCGTTACTCTTGCATTCAAATTCATTAGTCTTGGATGATTTAAGTTTTTATTTTAAAATAATATATGCAATATTCATATATGAATTCAACGGGTACGCAATTATGAAATGGAGGCTATGTAATTATATGAGGTAACACTTTTAAGTAGCGGTCTACAATGTCCATTTCTTTTTGTGCGCCTCTATACTAACACGTCAATGCATTATGTTTAAAGTAAATAACCAATGGCACTAAATTATCTATTTACACGAGAAATACATAGGCTGAGCGTCTGATCCCTTTTTTGTGAACGGCCACTACACCCGTATGATTGGCCGTGCCCGTCTGAACGTCCAAGTTATTAACACATCATCCCGAGTTATTGTCTTTTTTTCTGGGGTGGACTTCACGCCAGTTATTAACTGCTGACGCGTGCCCCGTGTACACAGTCTAGCATGACCTTCCCGCCAACACGGTCCAAAATTAGTTGAAACTGGATACGAACGATCCCGCGGGCGGCAAAATCTCCCGCCTCCTTCTAAAATTTCCGACACCTTAGTCTTTAGCATGCGAAATTCCCCTTGGTGCAAGGAGACCAACAGTTACAATACCGCCCTCATCTACATAATAGGTCAGGGCTTCTTTGGTAACTTCTAGTTCCCCCCACTACATGGCACCCCCATTTCCTCTCCCCCTCCCACAAAAACGACTAACTCCACAACACCAGAGCATCTTACATCACGCCGTCCGTACTTCATCGCCCTTTCTCCCCTCCCCTCTCGAAACCCTAGACTGCTCATCCACCTGCGTACCATAGCCCATTCACTGCCAGCGGCGTCCACCTCGCCGGATCTGCTTCTGCGGCCGCATCTACCCCTCCCACCTCCCCTAGAAACAAGTAGTCTGCTCATCCACCACTGTACCACAACCCATTCAGTGTCGGCCTTGTCCACGGCGTCGGATCTGCTTCGTCGGTATTCTCATCAACCGCCGCGCATCTACAGCGACTCATTCGTACTCCCCACCGGAGACGCTTCGTCCACACCCCCCGGAGCCGCCCCACCGACGCCCCCGTCGACGGCCTCTGATCCTCTTCGCCGACACCTTCCTAAACCCTACCGGAGCCACTTCGCCGACACCATCATCAACCCTACCGAAGTAGCTTCGCCTATACCATTCTCAACCCTACCGGGACCGCTTTGCCAACTCACAAGTCCACGGCCTAAGATCCGCTTCCTCGCACCCTCATCCAACCTATCGGAGCATCTTCGGATGCCCCGTCCACGGCCGCAGATCCGCATCGTCAACACCATTCT